AAAAACAGAACTGACAACACCCGTGAGTCTCATACCAAATAACCAAGAGTCACTAAGCCCAAGGAACTAGTTCCACAAATGTTTTCTTCTGCTAATCCAAGTTAAGAAAGAGAAAGGAAAGGACTCTAACCACTTGGCTTCCACCAAACTCGGCAGGTTCAGGAGTCTGAATTGGCCAGAATTCTTCTTTTTTTGCCTGCTCATGTTAGAGGGCTCAGGGTCTTTCTACTGCAGCAGCTTTAGGGTAAGCAGTGTCGAGCTGGTGATGTAACCTGCTCACAGAACCAACTGTGGGGGAAGAAGAAATGTCCCTCTACCCTCCTAGGTCCCTTCAGCTGGCCCAGTAATTAAATCAACATGAGACAGATTATCAAGAGGAAAAAAAGACAAATTTAACTACATGCGTATATATGGGAGCCCCTTATCCATGAGAGGTTCAGAGACAGAAAGCTAAAATGAAGTATACGTGGCATTCTGAGCTAAAGATGAGGTAAAATGCCTTGGGGCTTCAGAGGGAAGGACGGTCATTTGCAGGATGATAAGAACAATGTTCAGTAATCACAAGTTTGTCCTGCCCTATAGATAGGTCACAAAAAGTTATTTCTGATGATAGCTCTTTTATGGGCAAATCCTCAAATTTAAATTCTTTAAGGGAGGGGGAAAAGTGTCTCATGAGGTCCTTGTTGCCTTCAGTTCAAAATGATTCATATGCCAAAGTGGCATATCTTGGGGAGACATGTTCTGAACCCCTATACAGGGTTCTACCTTACTTAGAAATTATCTAGCCATCCAATGAAAACCCTTTAATTAACTCAAGTTAATGTCAGTCCTAAGCATCTTGGAAATGAATCTTTCAGCTGATATACTACAAAATATAAACACTGTAGAAATTAAATTTTCAGAGTAAATCAACGCAAGTTTTCATTTCTCATAACTATAAGCATTAAGTATAAGAAATGCTAGTTTATTTGATCAGTAAACCTATGTAAGCTTAAGAACATACCCAAGTAGGATAAAATCATTAGCTTGTATTATACTTTACTGTGATAAATCAGAGAAGACCTAACTCTTTACATTAAACCAAAAACAACAAACTGGTCTCATGTGCAAAATTTTACTTAAAGTATCTGAACTTGGACTCTTAAACTATTTGAGTTAAGTTTCTAGCAGAATATGTTTTGAACATATTGAAAGTATTAGTTCTGTTTTATTAATTTCTGGGATTTTTTAAATATTCATTTGATATCAGCACTTAGTTAAAATAAATCAATCAGAAGAGTTCCTTTAATCTTTCCAGAAATTTCTGCTCAACAGGTCCCTCTGAGCACCTCATCAATCAATCATGTTATGTTCTACATAGTTTCTCTGTTTTCTTAGCCAAGACAGAGCCACTCTTTCCCAATGTCTTTTCTGTTTACAAGATCCATAACTGTCTTTAACAAGTGACTCCCTCCTTTGGAGTTGAAGGACTGAGATGGGAGCATCTAGATGTTTTATCTTCAAGGCCTTAAGTTTATCCAGGTTTCTACTTTGTTCTTATTTTAAGCTATTTTCCAAATGCTCAGTAAGTGTGAGAGTTCTGATAGCGGGGTTATTTCCTATTCTATTGTATGCTTATGCATTAAATACTCAATTTCTGACTTAACACCATTTATTTTTTTTTTAAAGAAGAGGTCACATCTCTTCTAGATCTTCCTCTGAATGCTATCTAAAGCTGTAAAAACAAACAAACAAACAAACAAAACCTATTCCTCAAGTCTATAAATACTCATCCATCTTTACTTGCGACTGGATTAGAGTCTAATCTACTTTCATAGGGGACACTTAGAGAGAGGCTCCTAAAGACATTATCCAACATTTACAGCTTTTCTAACCCCCTATGATTTCCTATGAAATTCAGGGTCCTTTAAATCACCCTTGAGAGCTTTCAGTTCTACTTTTTCCATCCATTTCTTATCTTAGCATCTGAGTTTGCCACTAACACTCATTGATAGAGACCAATGGGTCCTGCATTACACCTTCATAAAATTATTCTAAGTCCTTCCACAAATTTCTCCCCATCCTGTCTGGGCTCTCAGCTCAGTGTGAGACCAAGTCTTGCAATCAACAGAAAGGGGTTTTCTGTTTTAGGGAGGTTTGACTTTTGTTTTCTTCTTTTTTTTTATTTTTTAGCTAAGCCATTCTGCCACCTGTTGGCAGGGGAGGTTTGACTTTAAGAGATAAGAGCTGAAGTGGATTCTGGCAGGCCAGGAGGAAGAAGAGCAAATAGAGGAAGTGACGGGGCAGACAAAAATGGCATAGAATTGGGAGAGTAGTAAGACAAAGGCTATCATTAGGTTCAAACTATGATTTAGGAGGATCTGAAAGAGGGACAGTTTTCAGTGTTTTCTTTTGCCAAGGAATCTCTTAAAGAAGAGATTTTGAAATCTGAACGTTTTGGAAGGCTTCCTTATGTCAATTGAGAAATGTGGACCATCAGAAATTCGAAGCTTGTTTCTTTTTGAACTCAACTTTTCAGTTCCTGGAGCCAGCTTGAGGAAAGGACTTACTTTAGGGCCTACACCCGTCTCCTACCTTCTGAATTTTTTCTTATTGGTGGACAACAAACATGATAAGAACAGAGAGACAAACGTATTTCCACCAAGGAAATTTAAGTCTTGCCTCTATAGCAGGGGTTCTTAACCTTTTTTGTACCATGGAGTCCCTTGAGAGTCTGGTGAGGTCTGTGAGCCCCTTCTCAAAATCCTATTTTTAAATGCTTGGAAAAATATATAGAGAGAATAATTTTTTAAAGACCAATTATATTGAAATATCATGAAAAAGATTTTAGAAAAACAAATTTGCACTATAGTAGTATAAGTGTGTCTTTATTAACACATTAAATAATATGTTCCAATAGCAGATCTAATCATTACTGTAATGTGAAGCAGATAGGCTATTTTGAGAGATCTGCAAAACTGTAACATCATCTGAAAATATCTGAGGTTCTTGCTAATAGGACTATGGTTTGTTGTCTCTATTCTTAATGAAAAGACACACCAAATTTCAGTTTTAGGTGAGTGGTAATCAAGGTGCAATTTTTTTTCCCCCCCAGCCAGGCTCATGGATTGTCTGAATTCTACCCACAGACTTTTAGGTGCTCACAAACCCCAGTTAAGACACCAATGAGAAATTCCATAAATTTTTGAAAATCAACTTAAATCGACTTGAAAATAAATAAATAAAATCAAAATCAAAATCAACTTAATGTTAGTCAATTAGAAAGCATGTTGCAGAGTAATATACACGGTATAACTTCACTGCTGTAAAAAACAAAACAACGTGTGCCACAGATATGTATAAAGAAAGGAAAGGTGTAGAGAGATGTATGCCAACTGGTCACCTGGCAGGACAGGCAGAAGTTGGAGGGGCCAATTTACATTTTCTTGTTGTAATTCAATATTGTTTAGTGATTTACATTAAGTGTATTCTTTTGTAGTCATTATAGACTGAATTGGATCCCTCCCCCCCATCCCCCTNCCACCCCACCCCAACCAAAAAAAATTCATATGTTGAAGCCTAACCTCCAATGTGACTGTATTTGGAGATGGGGCCTTTAGGGAGATAATTAAGGTTAAGTGAGGTCATAAAGGTGGAGTCTTAGTCCAATAAAACTATCCTTATAAAAAGAGAAGGAGACCCCAGAGATCTTTCTTTCTCTATCTCCACGGGTACAGAAAAGAGGCCATGTGTGGACACACACACAGAAAAATGCTGCCATCTGCAAGCCAAGAATAGAGGTCTCCCAAGATACCAACCGAGCTGGCACTTTGATCTTGGACTTTCAGCCTCCAGAACTGTGAGAAAATAAGTAATATCTGTTTTTTAAGCCTGTAGCGTTTTGTATGGTGGACCGAACACATTACAGAAGTTGGGGGTGGGGGGGAGGAAACATAAGTTTTTAAATAGTCAATTTGAAATCCAAACCCGAAGTATCGATTTGTAATAAAAACAGTTATGTCCTGTGGTTAATATAGCTTTGGTGTCATAAGAGGAAACTCCCAGAAGGCTAGTCTAACAGAACTATTGGCCTCCCTCCATCCCAACCCCATTCCCCAGATCAAAGTCAGATTCTTACAAAGTTGTCTAACACCCCAACAGGGGTTTCCAGCAGGAGGATTCTGACTGGTGCTTTTCAGCCCCATCTCCCCATTAGCAGTTCAGAAGCCTTATTGACTGCATCACAGTAATTTCAAAAACAGCAGCCTATTTTTCCCAGCTACGTATGAGAAGAGTGCAAAAACTATTCCCAGCTAAAGAGAATGGGGGGTGGGGGGGGTGGAGGGAGACTTGCCAAAGAATTTCAAAAAGCCAAGAATCTATTCTGTGATATCATTTCATCTTTGGGTGGTCTCTCCATCCCCACCCAGCTCTTTGGCTTTCTGGCCCTAAGGACTCATGACTTCACATATCTCACAGATCACCAGAAATGGAGTCCTGTAGATCATGCATGAAGCCTTATCTTTCCTGGTTCTGCATGTATTTCAGAGGTCACCCATCCACAGCGCTCCAGGAGGCTCACAGCGTTAATGAGTCCCTTGCTGAATTTACAGTAGCAGCTCTCAGCCCACACATTAGTGCCACTTAGACCCAGATCAGATTTCCCTTTTAAGGGAGAGCTTCAATAGCTCACAGATCAGCCAGCTGAACTCTCCCTCTCTCTGACTTACAATGTGAACAGTGGGGGGTCTCAGGGAGTGGAAAATAAAAACCAAATTCCAACACAACACTTTTCACATTTTTCAATCTGCCAGAAACGCGTTTGCGAAATCATTCTTGTTTGCTTTACGAAGAAATGGGAGTTCTTTGCTCTCAGTGAACAGAAAGTGTTCTTAGAATAGTTGCAAAAGTGTTTGATCAGTTATTTGCAACTGAAGAATCATTTACTAGCTGAGAGGTCTCAAGAGTCCATTTCTCTGAACATCAATTTTTTCGGTATAAAAAGGGAGTCAAAGTACACGGTCAGGTTACCTCCTGGGTTGTTTTAAAGATCAAATGAGACAATAGTATATGTCAAAGTACTGTTAGTGCTGTGTTAGGTGGTGTTTGAGACTCAGATGGACCATTTTGTTGGTGAACTTAAAGCCATGTAAGTAACTGTTTTAATAAATTGGGGGAATTATGTCAAATTAATACTTGTTGAGCAGAGCCCCAAACACCTAAGTGTCTAACAAAACTAGCACTGGGATTCTTTAAAATAAGATTTGCATGGAATAGTAATAAAGGTGACTGGACACAGCTATGTAACTGGAGAAATGAACGCAGTCGGCTGCCTTTTCCGAAAAGAGAAGGAGAGAAAATGAGGAGGAAAATGGCCCCTAACAATGTAACTGGGCCCTTGTTAATAGTAACTCCAGTTTCTGGGGTCTTTCTGAAGCTCAGGGAAAGGCATATTTCATATTCCCAGGAGGATGGAGAGAACATGAGTTGAAAGCAATTGGAGAGAGGTGGACAGGAATGCCATCATAAGAGAAAAGCTTTGCAATCATAGAGTTTTGACTACACTATTGTTGAGAATTCACATGGGTCCTTGAAAGGTGTGTGTGTGTGTATTTTGGATGTGTATGTGGTGTTTGGGGGTCAAGAAAGAGTCAAGGCTACAACTCACACTGGTGTGGAGACCTTCACTAATACTTCACATGGGTACCCAGGACCACCATGAACTTCACTGTGAGGCTTACAGTATCAAGACTCGGCCAGCCCTACCACACCCCACTCTTCCCCAGACTGTACCAGAAACACAACAGCAAAGGACAATTGTGGGCTGACCACTGCTGCAACACCTCAGGGCAGTTCATCTCAGCGACTCAGACTTAGTGAAATGACCCTCTTGGTGAGGAGGGGTCCATCCTGTGGATAGAAAGAGGTTTTCTGAAAGTCAGACATGCAGCATGTGACAGAGGAGGGATGTGCTTACAGAAAGGCCTAGACCTGACTCAAAGGACTGACTTAGGAAATCAGGATGCCCACAGGGGATCAACAGCATGTGATGAGTTTGAACTCCCTAGGGCAGTGGTTCTCAACCTGTGGGTCGCGACCCCTTTGGGGGTCGAACGACCTTTTCACAGGGGTCGCCTAAGACCATCGGAAAACAAAAAGATATTTACATTATGATTCATAACAATAGCAAAATTACAGTCATAGAGTAGCAACGAAAATAATTTTATGGTTGGGGGTCACCACAACATGAAGAACTGTATTAAGGGGTCACGGCATTAGAAAGGTTGAGAACCACTGCCCTAGGGGTTTTTTTCCCTAGGATGGGAATATTAATAATTCCCACATAATTTTTAAATGCCTCCCTCTCAGTTATCCTCAATTCCCCTCTAAAGGCTGATGCTCAGATAGAGCCTTGAATGATTAGGTTTTGCAAAATAAAAGAGCGGGCAGGGACAGGATTCTTGAGCTGCCCACATTCACCCTTCTGCTGCCGTTGGGAGAACGCAGCAGCATCCTAGCAAGGGCTCTGCATCTTGCCGCTCAGGCAGGGACCAGCACCACTGGGATCAGCAGGAGAACACAGGGTGCCAGTCGACAGCTCCAGAGCAGGTAACAGACCACCTATCCCCGTTTCCACCCCATAATCTTTCCTTCCAAAAAAAACCTTGAAGGAGATGATCCCTTAAGGCAGAGAGAAAACTGGAACTTGGTTTTCAAACTATCTGGAAAATCTGTAGGAGCTTCTGAGACCACGCATCACTTTAATACCTTTGGCGGCTAACAAATGACTTGCTTTGTTACAATAAGCAAACGTAAGCGATGGTCTGGGATGCATCGAGTCCATTTGGAGATCCTGCTGGGTTTTGCTTTATAACATCGCTGGTGGTCATCAACCTCTTTTCCAGTCCAGCCTCTCCCCCACCTGCCCATTTGAGGCTTCCTCATCTCACACCTAAACTACAGCAATATTTTCTCCGTGACTTGCCTTCAGTCTCTCCCCATTCCAATTCATCCTACATCTCTAGGTCAGAATTTCTTTCTTTTCTTTTCTTTTCTTTTTTATTTAAAAGGATTTTATTGGGGAATTGGGGGAGGGGAACAGTGTTGGGGAATAGGGAAGAGGGAACAGCCAAGTTGGTGTCCTTCAATCTTAGTTGTGGAGGGCGCAGCTAGCTCAGCTCCAAGTCCAGTCACGCCGCTGAGCTCAAGGTGCTGTGTTCAATCTTAGTTGTGGGTGGGCATAGCCACCATCCCATGCGAGAGTCAAACCGGAAACCTTGTTGCTAAGAGCACACACTCTAACCACTGAGCCATCCGGCCGCCCGTCGGCAGCTCAGGGCCACTCAGCTCAAGGTGCCGTGTTCAATCTTAGTTGTGGGTGGGTGTAGCCCACCATCCCATGTGGGAGTCCAACCGGAAACTTTGTTGTTAGGAGCATGTGCTCTCACCAGCTGAGCCATCCTGCCACCTGTTGGCAGTTCAGCGGCAGCTCAGCTTGGGCGCAGCTCACTGGCCCATGAGGGAATCAAACCGGCGACCCTGTTGCTCAGAGCTCGCACGCTTAACCAACAGCCACTCAGCTGGCCCCCAAATTCCTTAAAGTGCCATTCTACACACACACACACACACACACACACACACACACACACACACACACACACAAATACAAAGTAACTCACCATAGCCTGCAGTGCTTCATGCATAGTGGGGTACTCAACATAAATGGACAGATGGGTAGATGGAAAGAAGGGGGCTAATTCAGGATGCAATGCATACCCTTCCTCTACAGTGTTATAAAATGTAATGGAGAGAGGTTGGGTTGTTTGCTACAGTGTTGTTAGGTTTATAAAGCAATTTTGCCATGTTAGTATGATACTCACGTGAGTTGATCACATGTGGCCCCTCATATCCCAGATAAGGAGACTGATCCTTGACAAAGCTCATAACTTGTCAAAAGACACAGCCAATAGGGGAAGAGGTATTAATCCAACCAGGTTCACTGGCTCTAGACCCTTTCAACCCCCAATCTCTCCTACTTTGTTCACTGTTCCTACTCTATTTAACTTAAACTCGCTTCACTTTCTAAATAGGCAACAAGTAACCTATTGTTACTTCTATGTCTTTTTTTTTTTAAGATTTTTATTGGGGAATTGGGGGGATGAGAAAAATGCTGGGGAATTGGGGGAAGGGGAACAGACAAGTTGTTGTCGTTTTGTTCTTCAATCTAGTTGTGGAGGACGTTGCTTCACTGGCCCAAGTTGGCCCCATCATTGTGCTCTTCTCGGGTGAGGCAGATCAGTTGCTGGCTTCTGGACGGCCGCTCACTGCGGCTGCTGGCCACTCACGCTGGCTGCTGGCTGCTGGCTGCTGGCTACACACGGTAGCCCATGGCAACCCACTGCAGCAGGGGCTGCAGCCTACACCGTCGCCGGCAACTCACAGCAGCCCAGCTCCAGGT